TTTCATCATCAATTTTTTGCTTCTATTTTAAATTTTCTTTATTTAATATTTTATTTCCATTTTGATCCCAGACTTTATTTTTGGAATTGATTAAAATTATTAAAGGTGTGTATTACGGCCGTGTGCGAGTTCGAGTAAATTGAGGTAAAGTAAATTGAAGTTTTCTAGGAATTTTTTGCGCGGTAGTTATGTAAATATTTATTTATTGCACTTATTTATTATTTTTGGTTTAAAGTTTTTAAATTTATTTGTTTATTTATTAAACATCTTATAAAATTTTCACAATGGTAACACCTAATTTACCTAATTTTTATCTAATTTACTCTACTTGAAATTCTGGTAAATACCAACATTTGCTGCCATACCAACATAATTCACTATTTCCCTCAATTTACTATCAATTTACTCGATCTCGCACACGGCCTAAGTATAATTTAAAATTAAGTTTTCAAACCTAAATCTAAATTTAGTTTTGAATTTTTAATTTTTAATTGAATTTAATTTTTATTTTTTTAATAATTTCATTAAATATTTGTAGAGATTTTTTTTATAAATAACTTCAACTCTTAAAACCTTTCAATAACAAAGGATAGCAGCTATTTAGAACATATTTTTATGTTTCAATACTGATTATATATAAATCCATACATCCATATAAGTATAGTAAAAAGTAATAGCAATTATTCTATACATAAAGTTAAATAAAAATTTCTTTAAAAAAAATTAATTAAAAATAAAAATAAAGAATTATGTTCATCCATTATTAAACATAACATTTGTTCAGAATTTTCCATTTTGATTCAACTAAAGAAATATTTTATATTAACGATAAAATAATAAATTTAGACTAGAAAGAAACTTTCTCTTTTTTAAAGAATTCTATTTAAATTTATTCTTAGCATGTCTATAAAGTCCAAATTTCGAAAAAAAGTAAATAGCCATGCATACTCGAGTACAGATCTGTTCGTGACAGATTAAATTTCGTTGTAGGTTTCAAAATAAATTGATATTCAATCAAAGTTAACCAAACACAAATAAAAATTTGACCGTGAACTTTTTTGATACAAATTTCATACTTCGTTGTGTAAATGTTTATACCGCCGCGACGTACGACGTACTCCAAAGTACGCATAATACAGGCAGTACACTGCACTATAAGCACAATAATTCAGTTATTGGACCAGTGAGCACGTACATATTTAATACCGAAGACATAAAAGAAATGTACCAGCTGAAGGCGGGGTACGGTTAGAGTAATGTAGAGGATTTTAATGTAATGCTCTGTACGCATCCAAATTAATTATTCCCCAAACTAAGCACATACGTAATTGGGGCTTCCATAAGCAACAAATGGTAATACTTCACAATTTTTGTAATTGAAACCAAATATGTTACTTTTTAATAAAGTTTTCTTGTTGTTGTTATTAATAAGAGTATGTATATACTCGTATTAAGAGAGAAATATACATATGTAGTCTTCATACCATAGAAAATAGAGTTCATACCACCGCAGGAATCTTAACTACTTCTGAAGACAAACTCATTACTCGCAACATTTGTGGCAATAAAAAAATAAACCGAAAACTTTCTTACAAAAATTTAAATAATTTTCGATTATTTTTTTTTTTTGATTTACATATAAACAAATTAAATAATTATTATAAAATCAAGCCAACAATATGTTAAAAAAACAAAAAAAATAAAAAAAATTAAAACAGTAAAAAGCTGTTTTGGTTCGTTTTTTATTCGATTTATAATTTTTCGTGATTAATTTTACTGCTTTGCATTTGCGTTTACGTCAAATTGTGGATTTAATTAATAAGCCACCTTTTTGGTATTAAAATTAGCTGCTTTCGTGTTCAGTTTTACTTAATTTTAATTACGCTGGCAACATGTTTAACGTGTTTCGCGGTCGCATTTAAACCATTAAACAGAAATGCTTGTACAAAAATAACCGAACTTCGTAAAAAGTTAAAATATCGAAATCATTAACGTAATTAATGGTTTTAGTGGCTAATTTAATGTTTTATAAACAATAACATAAGCAAATGTTGTTGGATTAGTACGAAAGTAAATTTTGGATTTTAAAAATTGAAAATTGATTATTTATGTTGTTTGTAAGGAGTAATTATCGTTACTTCTGACTGTCAGATATATTATAAATCACACTATTTTAAAGTCAAATAAACAATATATAAAAATAAGCATTATTATTATGTTTTTAAACAATTATGTTATTATATATAGTAATAATATGTGCAAGTTTTTGGTAGAGACTGAGCAATAAAGTAGCAAGTTAATTGTCAAAGTCTGGACAAAAGCTATTAGCAACAATTATATTATAATTATGACATCTTCTATAAATTACAATCACAATTCAAGAACTTAGTCTATGCACAAATGCGTTCCAGACACCCCTATTACGTGCTAATGTACTAAGCTCGCTGCATGATTTGTTAGTTTCCCTGTTTATCTATCTTCTACATGTACTTTTCGGCTGTCCACGATTCCTTCTACTTTGTGGATTCCCTTTTAAAGCTGAGTGTGCTATTTCACTAACCGGTTTACCCAGGGTATACAAGACAGCCATATTTCTACTTCATTCTCTGTTTTACAATCGGCTGCTGACTTGTAATTTCCCATAGCCGCTTATTACATATGATTCTCGGCTAACAAATGTTTAGGATCTGGCGAAAGCATCTGTTAATATATGTCTGCAGTTTTTTTGAAATCGCCGATTTCAGATCCATATAACATCACACTTTACGCTGATTCTATGGTCTTATAAATGAATCTATGGTCTGACTTTTATATTCTTACAAATGATTAGAGACAAATAATTGCATAAGAGACTATTTCTTGTTTCACTTCTTGTGTTCAAGACTTATTGTTTTACTACAGAATTTCTTATAAAATACTCCAATACCACTAACAATAAGACTAATGATTAACAATAAATCGTTTCACGTCATAGAACCACTAACTTCTATATTCTTACAAATGATTAGAAACCCCATATCAATACTAGTATCTTACACATGAGACTATTTTTTGTCTCACGTCTTGTATTAAAGACTTAAGCAAGAGACTTATTGTTTTGTTACCGAATTTCTTATAATAGACCTCAATATCACTATTTGGGGGTTCATGTAGCACTATCTAATAACTTTAATTTAGAGTTTGTACGTATATAGTGGTGTATCTACTTCACAGCTTGGTTTACAGACTTTGGCAGATAACAATAGATAACAGATTTGTTATTTAATGCAAAAAGCTTTTGAAATTATTAATATATATAAGTATTTTTTGATCCGAATAGTACTATATGATAACGTAGAAGAGTTTGACTACTTGGTGCTCTAAATAATATCATCCATACAGAACTGTTTATGTTAAGAAAATTTTAATATTTCACAAGGCTACAGTTCTGCTAGCAGTAGTCTGTTTATTGCAACTGAAGAAAGGGGCTCTCTGATATCAAACCTCTGCGAATTGCTGGAAACCGTAGAGTTCTTGAAAGGGTAACAACATGACTACTTCGCGCGGTGGAAAAGACTCCGACGCCATACGCTTCGACAGCACTTAAAAGGAAATAATATTCTTTACAAATTTAACGTGGCAATTACATATATTGTGGAATATATGTATTAGTTTAAATATTGCTTAAGCTAACCAAAATTAATCGCTTATATTTTTAAATATATGACTTAATGGATCGTGTGCAGATTCTATAATAAAAAGAGAGAAATTATAATAAAAATTATATAATAAAAAGTGAGAAATTATCAACTCAAATAAAAAATAAATGCTGTGTTTTTTTTCAAACCACAAGTTCCAGATACCTTTTACATATAATATATATAAAATAATTACAAAATCACTTCATTTAAATGCTATATATTAAACAATTTATTAACTCTTTGTTATAGAAATAAATTTATACGCTGTTATGGAAGTATTTTCATAGCCAAGCTAATAAAATGTAGGACGCAATTCCTTTGTCAGCTCTATTTTAATAATTATGATTGCTTAGTACGACAAAGAAATATTTTCTAGTGTTATATATATATATATATGAACGTACTATTCATATGTAAATACAAACAAATGAGAAAATAAATTTAAATATTAAATAGAGTTAAATGATTTAATTTTATAAGAATAAAGAAATCTTAACCAAAAAAAAATAATTTAATTATTATGGGTTTAAAAATGACATAAGTACATATTATTTTCAGCTCCATTAAATCATAAATATCCATTTGTTTAATTAATATGTAAATTTATTTTTACCACATAAAACCTTTAGACATGTAAATTAATAAAAGCATATAATAAATTTATCTCACTCAACATTTCTCTTCTTCTTTTCAGGTTAATGCAAATCTCAATTTCTTTTTCATCGCTTTGAATTCGTAAGTAAATTTATAGTTCGTCTTTATGTAAATATATCTCTTGAATAAATACAAAATTTTTGCAAATGAAACAAAAAAAAAACAATAAATAAAATTTGCAAATTTCGAAATTTGAATAAATTTGATTTAATAAACTTTTACAATTTGACTTTAAAATCGAACAAATTTCAACTTTTGTTTGTTTTCGTTCCGTTAAAACCGTTTTAGTACGCAGCAGCAGAAGATATGGGGAAAAAATATTTTTATTCAATTAAATAAATTCAAACTACTTTTGACATTGTCAAATATGTCATTTACTTGAATTTATAGTGAATTAATGCTTGATAAATTAACTAAAAATCATTTCTTTTTTTTTGGATTTAATAGTCAATTGAAGTGAAACAAAATAAATTATTGCTTTCATATTTCATTACAATAAAATATAAATAAAATGAATTTATAATGAATTATCTCAGATACTGTTGCACATTTAATAATCTGTATTATTTTATTTATATAATATAATATATATGTAAATACATACATTTTATATGGATGTAACATAAGTAATAAATAAATAATATTTAATGGAAATTTTCAACTCACCTAACTTTTGGCAACAAATTTTAAATGTTTTATGAAATGTTGACACTAGCAACTGCAGAAGCTGTAAATAAAATATAATTTATTAAAAATTAATTGAAATAAATGAAAATTTTTAAAAATTTACAAGAATTAAATACTTCAATAACTTCAAATTATAAACTTATTAATATAAATTATATTGACGTTTCTCGAACAGTAGTGAACTACAACAACAAAAATTCTTTTTTATATTATTTTAATTAATTGAATTAATGGCTGACTATAAAGCTGTTTTGAGTATTGTTAAATACCCATTATCAGTGGTCTTTTGGAAATATTTCTTGTATTTAATATATCTTAAATAAGGTTTTGGAACTGCACGTATCAAGGATTGAACTTGTGCCCTGTCAAGTTTGAAGCTCAGAGTCAGCGCACCTTAACCAACTGACCCAAAACCGTACCTGACTTTAATGTTCACACATTTTTCTGGAGTTTTGTTAATTTGCTGTGAAAGTTTTATAAATAAATAAACAAAATTTAAATAGACAGTAAAATGTTTAAACAAAATTTAAACAAAATAATTAAAAAGAACTGAAGAAACAAAGAACGAATTAAAATTAAATACAATATAATAAAATGAAATAAAATAAAATAAAATAAAATAAAATAAAATAAGATAAGATAAGATAAGATAAGATAAGATAAGATAAGATAAGATAAGATAAGATAAGATAAGATAAGATAAGATAAAATAAAATAAAATAAAATAAAATAAAATAAAATAAAATAAAATAAAATAAAATAAAATAAAATAAAATAAAATAAAATAAAATAAAATAAAATAAAATAAAATAAAATAAAATAAAATAAAATAAAATAAAATAAAATAAAATAAAATATAATAAAATAAAAAAAATAAAATAAAATAAAATAAAATATAAAATATAAATAAAATAAAATATAAATAAAATAAAATAAAATAAAATAAAATAAAATAAAATAAAATAAAATAAAATAAAATAAATAAAATAAATAAAATAAAATAAAATAAATAAAATAAAATAAAATAAAATAAAATAAAATAAAATAAAATAAAATAAAATAAAATAAAATAAAATAAAATAAAATAAAATAAAATAAAATAAAATAAAATAAAATAAAGAGTGAAAATAAAAATATACAAAATATAATTTACAAATCAGAATAAATATTAATTTTTTAAATACTAAATATTTATATTAAAAAATATTGACACTATTTAAAATAATTTAATAATTATTAAATACTAATAATGTTTTACTATAATCATATTAAGTTAAAGAATACATTTTAATAAGTATTACACAACATGGCTGATTGGTCTGTCAAAACCTAATGTAAAAAATAATTTAAATAAATGTCAAAGTTATTTATTTCTATATATAGACTATTTTGTAGTGAAAAATATTATCCAAAGACAAAACAAAATTTTTTTAATAAAGTGAATTTTTAATCTGACTATATAACCTCTTAACTATTGCCGAATATTCAACATCAGTAGTCTTTGAGAGTATTCGATGATTTAATGATGCTATGCTAAGTAAACGTCTTTACTTCAAAAGTTCAGAAGTTTAACTGAACATTTCAATTTCAAATTAATTCAATTATTATAACTTCCCATTTAGTTCACGTGCATAAAATAAACTCAAATACTAAAACAGATAAATCTCAAAACGCCAGCTAATAGCACCAAAAATGAACAAGGCATGTATCAAAAACGAAGATGACACTTAGTTTTTCAATAGCATTCCCAAAAAACAATAATACTTAACAGTTTGGTGCTGTTAGCTGGCTAAATTTGTTTGTTAAATCCGTTAAAAATGGTTTTAAAAAAGAGTAAATTTTTTGTTAGTTTTTAAATGTTAGCAGAATGTCTTTTTAATATATTTAATACTGTTCTTGACCAAGAAAACTTATACTTAACATTTTTAAACTTTCTTATTTCATATTAAATTTTATTAACATTAAATTCAGAAATTGTGGTGTTACCATAAAGTGACTACCACTACTATAGAAACGATATTGTCCTTTAAAATATATTGAATATCGCCTGCGGTACGTATTGAATAGACAAAAGCACTACGAAAGCATTTAAGCCTAGGACAATAATAGGGTCAGTAACAATACTTTCTTTACCATCTATAATGGAAAATATTTTCCCTTGCCTGTGTTTGTGTTCAATTCAAAAATTTTTTTTTTTTTGTTAATATTATTTTATATAAAATTATTTTTGACATTTGAACTACAACAATTGGGAGCCGAAAAATAGAGTAAGAAAATGTTAAAACCGAAATCTTGTAATTTGTTGAAATTGACAGTTCAATTCAACGCATCAATGGTCACTTCCCTCTTACTGGCAGTCCGACCGGTGCGAAGTTTATTTATTTCGGTTCAAACTTTAGTTGACATTTTGGGTGACATTTCATTTTCATATAAATTCTAGACAAATGTGCGTTTGATATCTAATTCAATTTAATAGATTTACCATTTTGATATGATGTTTTAACAGTGGTTGAGAAAAAAAATTAATATGCTAACAAAATTATTAATATATATTAAATCACAAAAAGAAATATATAGTTTCTCTTTCATACCTCTCAAAATAATTCCGAAAAAAAACATTGCAAAATTTAATTAATTATAATCTGAATAATTATAATTATAAATTATTTTAATTTGATTAATAATAAGTTAAGTGTATTGCAGAAAATTGAAATCGGTTAGCATCACTAACAAATATGCCTAAGAGTTTGTTACAAACCGTAGCTAACACTGTTAGTGGTTATAAAGAAAGAATATATTATAGAGGCCTTAGGATCTATTGCACTTAAGTTTTAGACAAAGACTTGGACTCACTAAGTCTAGTCACTTTAATAAATAGTATATGAAAAATAACACTTTTACTTCACTTTTACTATTCATTCACAGCACGAGTTTCTTAATTACCTTTTCTCATTTGCAGAATCTGTAAATTTTATCAGAAACCATTCCTCATTTTACTGAGGAGGTGTAGTTCAACATGTAATCTTGTGTTAGAATTTCTATTAAAATTCTCAACTAATTGTTTTTGCCAAATTCAAATAATCCTTATATTGACTTAGGTAGTATGTCTTTAAAAAAACTCATACTGAAGCACTCAAGTATACTCAAGTTAAAAATGTAAAATATTCACTCATTTGAGTCAATGTATTCTACTTTGAAAGTTTTGATATTAAATTTAATAATAGAAATACATTTAAAATATGTCCTTGACTTTAAGGTGCACGACTGGAAACAGAAAAGTTTTGATATGTTAGAAAAGGGGACTAAACGTTGCCCAAAAATAAAGGGAGTTTTCACCAAGAATATCAATAACCAGCATAATAAAAATCGCACTAGAATAGTTGAACTTATCGATAATATTGAAAGGGAATCATTATATTGATTAACTGATTGAATAAAAGAGACATAAAACGCCATTGCACAATATCGAATAGGATTTGTTCACAAGAAACAAGGATAGAGTATGCGATCATATCCTAATCTTTAATCCTAAATAGGGAAAGATCTATCTGAGCTGTCTTGTCCTATAAAACAGAAGAGTATATAAATCAAAGACATTTTTTAAATACAAAGATTACACATTTTTTGTTATTATTTCTGTTTTCAGTTATTAAAAAGTTTTAATAACCAATTGGAGATAATTCACAAAGATCACTCCACTTTACTAGGAGAAATAGAATGATGTGTCTAGATCGTGCATATTGTAAAGCCTCAGGTCTACTCTGTGTCAACCATCATCATTAACAAAACAATTTTAGTAATTAAAATAATTATTTAATAAAAATAAAATTCAAAAATTGAAAAATTACAAAAATATAAAATTAATAAGTCAGAATTAAATTAAGTCAGTAATTTACGAAAATTAAAACTATTTCAAAAGCCGTTAATTTCATCACTAAATGAAACATGTGACAGCTTCTGTGATTTTAACAAGATATGAAATTAATTTTTAATGAAATTTAATTTCTATATTTATATGCATATAAGGTATAAATATATATATATATATATATATATATATATATATATTATGTCTTTACGAAACATGTTTCTGAGTTGAAATTTGTTCTTCTTTGTTAATTTTTTAATTGTTGGTGATTTTTTCATTTTGTGGTTTTGGTTGTATAATTCCTCGTAAGCTGTTTTTTTTATTGATTTTAATAAAAAATGTTAACAATCTTAAATACAAGCAAACTGTTGACAATGTTTAAAAGCAAAAATACAATAATGAAACTAACCGAAAGAGCAAAAAACTGACGTCAGTACTGCAGAAAAATCTTTTAAAAACTTTTATTCTTTTTTTATTTAATTTTATTGCAGGTGTCGTAAATACCTTTTGATTACTTAATAGTTTTGTGTTAAAATTTGTTTGAAGTTGAAATTCAGCAAAAATTGCTTGATAATATTTTCTTATATAATACTCATCTTTTTTTATATTAAAGCCGTATATAATTAACAATTAATTATTATTTAAAGCTTTTTGTTCAATAAAATATAATGGACCAAAACAATAAACTTAGCAAAGATGATATAACTTTTACCAATGATGCAAATAAATTTTTATTATCATCTTGGCTGTGATCACCGATATTAATCACTACATTTTAAACAGAAAATATATGTACTATCTATACAAAAGTTAATCATATTTAGTTAAGTGTTAAGTTTTTTAGTTTTCTTGTTAATTTTTGGAATACTTAATCAAAATCTTCACATTGAATTTAATCTTAAAATAAACCAAATAATAATCTATGAAATATAATCTTAAATATATTATATCACTCAATAGGTAAGATGACATAAAGATGGCGCCACCATATCAGCTTACTCTATTTACAAGATTTTATGTCTCTTTAACTGCTTGGTGTTCCATAACATACTGTCATTTAGGGACTAACAGTAGGGAAACTTGTATTACTAAAGACAGTAGTATTTTCAAAGCAATGAAAAAGTCTTGATAGTGCCCTATAATGGATCCAATGCGGTACAAATCCACTCAAT